TTTGTTTTGTTTGGTTTTTCTGTCAGCATGTTTCTTGGGATCAATGCTTTGAAAATGTGATACTTTGTTACCCATTTTATAATTACATTGTAACTTCCTTGAGAGTACATACCCCACATATTTTCAGGAAAATTGTGGATGCTTTGTTTTGCCATAATAAGTGAAGTGTCTGGGGACTGATTTAGAGTTCCAAAGCACTGGGTTGAATCCCAACTCTGCCTCTGACTGGTTATGTGACCTAAACCAATATGCTAATTGCTATAATTTTTAATGTTCTCATTTATAGAATAATAATGCCTTATTTACAAAATGAGAATAATAATTTTTTATAATATAATGGTAGTAATACTTCATTTATCACTTTGTTGAGAGGATTTTAAACACTTTCTACTTAATTTATTAGCTTGGTATATGGTAAATACTCAACAAATTAAACCTATTGTTATGATCATCATCATTATCATCATCAGGCTTTCCATCAGTCAGCAGAAACAAGCCTTAAGAACAAAAATATTGAGGAACCAAAATGGTTGAACTGGACACAGGAGACACAAGGGCAGGCGAGAAGGTGATCTGTAGACATCAGGAAGATACAGGACCCAATTAGGAAAATCAATGCCAGAGCAATCTCTTAAATGTGCAGTGCTGGTCATACTCTAGCGTAATTAGTGCCTCATAGTAAACAACAACAAAATACTAGTTTCTGAAACTCTGCATAAAGCAGGCAGTGAGGAGTCGCAGCTTCTTACTCTACATAAAGCATGAATCATCCTGGATGCCTTTGTGCATGTTTACATTAGGTAATTTCACTTTTGCCAGGGTCCTAAACAAAAATTGATCTTGGAAGCCAAAGACTGTATTTCTGAGTTGATCTTCTCTTCCAACTTGTTTACGAATATTCCTAGTCAGAATGTTTGTTCGCCCATGGGCTGAGTTAGCATTCTTCTTCTCTTCTATTCCTCTTTGGAAATAAGACAGGAATATCTATTTGGTAGAGATCCACATCACGAAAGTCAGTACCTTCTCATTGAGTTGATGGCATCACTGTGAACCCAGAAAGAATTCACCACGTTTCTTATCTATTAACATAGTCCCAAATCTGAGTGCCCCCTGATGCTTTTCTTGATGCTGCATTATTTTAAGATCAGCCCATGTAGTTAATAGACCTAATCATTACCGTTTGAAATTTCTTCAGTTTCTTTGAGTCAAATGGTACCTGAATGATTCATAAACAAGTCTTTCACTGTTGCCTTTTTAAGTGAGTCCTTTGATATTAGTGTCATGAATTAATGATGTTTTGTGATGTACTTTTGTGTCAGAGCTTTGGAAGTCTTGCTTTAGCTGCCACTGTATCAATTAAATACTTTTCCCCCTTCTATTGATAAATCTTTAAAGAGTTAGTCAGCATGTTCTTTATTACTTTGAGAGTAGTCAGACCAGAAGAAAACAACTGGTTCAAAATCTCAGTATCCATGGTTCCTTTTTATTTTCTTCCAGAATCATTTGTTGACCACATAAATGTTTTTGCAAAGAGTGTGTTAGTTGTCAAAGGTTTTATTTATCTGGAATTTTAATAATGCTTTTCTAAAATGCTATCTCAACATAATGCTTGCTGACAGGAGAGTTAGAGCTTTTTAACCCTTCAATGCTTGTATTAGCGCTATAGGAATAATGATGCCTAGTTTATCGGATTAATGAGATAATAACATACATTTGCAAAGTATCTAGCACACTGTCTGAAGCACAGTAAGTACTAAACAAATAATCATTCTCATCATGATGTTGATTCCATACCTTCTAATAATACCAAAAACAAACAAACAGACAAAAAAAAAAACACCAACATATTTCTCGCTTAGGTCTTTACTGGGATCTTTGCAGCTGAAATGGTTTTAAAACTAATTGCCATGGATCCATATGAGTATTTCCAAGTAGGATGGAATATTTTTGACAGCCTTATTGTGACTTTAAGTTTAGTGGAGCTTTTTCTATCAGATGTGGACGGATTGTCAGTTCTGCGATCATTCAGACTGGTAAATATAGACCAACGTTACATTATATTCTGTATATAAAAGGGTGTTTTCTTGACTTTGCATTATTATTATTATTACTATTATTATTATTTAGATCTTTTGGAGGTTTAAATCAAAAGACAAGATTAGGTCCAGATAGCTAGTAAAATAAAATTCTTTCAGTAACAAATGCACTTAAAGAGCTCAAAAACCACATGTATATTTAATTTTAGAATCTTGAGGAAATATTCAGTTGTATACACTAGTATAACAGAAGTTGTATATACTAGTATAACAGAAAATATTTCTTTACCCAGTGGGACAATAATTTATTTATTGGTAAGAAGTTTATGGTTGACAGAATTTCAGTCATTATAATATAGTCGTTACTTTGTGGATTTGATCATTCAAGATCAAATCATTGTTTTCAACACAATTCTTTTCTGATTAAAAAAATACCAAAAAAACATAGGCTTTTTAAAGCATTTTTCTTTAGCATGTTGGGCTTCATTTCTATGTCAGCATTAAAACGTTTATAAAAATAGCAGAAAACAGAATTAAGGATAAATTATCAATTCCAAAGGGAACATCTGAAACCATGTTAAGAGGCTTCTATAGCAATCCTGAATTAAAATTATACACTTTCTTCAAAACGTGTGGTTATTATAGTGTGGTAAGCATATCAAGAGTATTGGAAAATAGATGAAAAATAGAAACAATTTTTAGCTACATAATGACAATATTTTGGAACTTAAAATTTGGAATAAAACTCAAGACTGGAAACATTAAAACTTATCATAGTAATTAATATTATGCTTTGTGTTTACTTTTAGCTCAGAGTTTTTAAACTGGCAAAATCCTGGCCTACCCTGAACATGCTGATTAAGATCATTGGCAATTCAGTGGGGGCTCTGGGTAACCTCACCTTGGTGTTGGCCATCATCGTCTTCATTTTTGCCGTGGTCGGCATGCAGCTGTTTGGTAAGAGCTACAAAGAATGTGTCTGCAAGATCTCCAATGATTGTAAACTCCCACGCTGGCACATGAATGACTTCTTCCACTCCTTCCTG